CCAGCCCGCCGGGCCCGTGGGAGTCACCAGGCCCACCTGGGTCATCCCCCTTTGGTTAACTCAGAGCCACCGAGGAGTCACCTTAATCACGTCTGCAACAGGCCCTAACGTGGTCACAGGGTGACCCTGGGGTAACCCTGGGGCTGCGGGGCACAGGCCAGGTCAGAACTCTGCCCGCCACACCGGTGTCAGCAGTGGGCCCAGCAGGTCAGTGGGGACGCGGTGAGCGAGGCTCACGACCCATCTCCCCGGGGAGGGGCCTGTTTCTACTCGGACTTCTTTTCTTGTTTGCCCCGTGACCCCAGGCTCAGACAGTTCCAGAAAGGTAATATCTAGGTGGTTTGAATCGTTCCTTCCAGAGAGGAAGCCAGAAGGTCCGTTTATCTTGGAAATTCAAAAACGTCCGCCAAACGTGGACTCGTTCCCTCTGTTATCTTAGCCTGTGCATCATCTCCACTTGCAGAGTCGAGTCTGTCTTCGGTCGACGCACGTTATTTCCACCTAGAAACCACCGCTTCTCCCCCACCCTCTTCCCAGTCCTTTGTCCCGAAATTCACTGCAGCCCAGCCTTGCTCTCTGGGCCTTTTCCTCCTTGTTCACCTTGAATGTCACCTCTTGTCACTGGCTCCCTGCCACGTCCCAGAGAACTTCGGGTCTTTAGGTTAGTTCATCTGACTGCCATGTCTAACCTAGTCCCTGTCCTCATGCCTGGATCGGTCCTTGTGGGGTTTGGGGGGGTTTGTTTTGTTTTTTTTGAGAGAGAGTGCTTGAAAGTGCGGGGACAGGGGCAGAGGGGGACAGAGAGAGAGAGAGAGAGAGAGAGAGAGAGAGAGAATCCCAAATCCCAAGCAGGCTCCACGACCGGTGCAGAGCCTGATGCAGGGCTGGATCCCACAACCCCGGGATCATGACCTGAGCTGAAATCGGGAGTCGGACACTCACCCGACTGAGCCACCCAGGCACCCCGGTCCTCGTGTTTTCAATCTCGATTGTTCCCACTCTGGCTCCCCTTCATGAGAGCGTCAGCCAACCTTTCCTGACACCTGTTCCCATTTCTTGCAATAACTCTGTGCTCTTTTAACTCAATACCCTCAGATCTGATCCCTCGGACTGACTTTGTCTCTTGAACCACAGTTGATTGCTGCTGTCGAGATTTTCTTCCTCTGCACGTCTTCAAAGAAGGGGGTCTGGTCTTGTTCAAAGTCAGGAGTGGAGGGAAACCCACCTGGGACTTCAAACGTCCCTGTCCAGATATTTCAGGCCCAAAGTGAAAGGCAGAGAGAAAGGGGGAGCCATGGGGACCCACGGGGACCTTGGGGGCTGTGGGGAGCGGGCAGGGCAGCAGGGGCAGCACGGGGGGCACAGGGACAGGGACGGTGAAGGCCCTGTTCTCAGGGGCACGGCTGGCTGTGGTGGCTGTGGTGGCTGGGGTCCCCTCCTCTCCAGCACTTGCCTGCCAGGGAACTGGGGGCCTTCTTATTAGCCTGCCCTCCAGCCCCCAGCCCAGGCCCTGAGTCAGCGTCCCCAAGGTTCTGTGGGGTTTCCACACATGGGTGCAGAAGGCTGTCCTGGATGTTGTTCAAACCTTCTCTACCCCTGTTCATTTTCCTGCTTAAGAATTTCCTCAACTTTTCAGCGAAGTCTATGTGCTAAAATCTATCCGTTGTTCTTAGAACTCTAGCGATTCTCCTATTTTTAGGCCACTAAAAAACGGCCTGTGTGCCTCTACCTCGCGGGAACCCCCAAAATCTCTGATCTCCAGGTCTGAGGAAGGTCTTTCCCAATTTTTAAATGTTTACTTATTTATTTTGAAAGAGAGAGTGTGTGAAAGGGGGAGGGGCAGGGAGAGAGAGGGAGACGGAGGATCCAAAGCAGGCTCTGCACTGTCAGCACAGAGCCCGACGTGGGGGTCGAATCCAGAAACCGCCATGACCTGACTGAAGTCGGATGCTCGGCCGACTGAGCCACCCAGGCGCCCCTTACCCAGTGTTTTAACCTGTCGGCCATTGAGGTGGGCACCCGGGAGGGGGATTCAGACGCACCTAAGGCGCAGAGGCCCCAGGCCCTTTTGACCAACAGCAAATCCCAGCTGCAGCGTCTGCAGCCAGAGGGGCTCGGGTCGCGTGGCCACACGCCCCACCGCCCACGCCCCCACCGTCCGTCACGTGGCCAAGCCGCCAGCACGTGCTAGAGCGAGGTCTGCGTCTGACACGGCTGCTTTCACTTTCATGGCTGGGTTTTCCCCCCGGTTCACATGAGCCAATGTGTTTGTCAAGAGAAAGTCAATTAAAAACATATTTTCCTAATTAAATGGTAGGCTGTGCTATGCAAACAGTAAGATTCTTGTTTGAGAGCAAATCCCTCCCCGTTTCCAGGGCCACCCTGGGAATTCGAGAGATCAACAGGGCAGAACCCAGCGCAGAGCGCTGGGACACGCGCCCGACACCGCCCCCGGGGGTCCTCAGAGCAAGCGGGGGTGCGGGCCCACACACGCCCCCAGGGAGAAGGGGTGTCCCCCCCATCAGAGCCAGGTCACAGCCTGCCGGGCATCCGACCTGCCCCAGCCCCCAGGGCCCCGCACACGCCCTCTTCTCCTGAGCGCGCTCCTCCGGGCCCCAAACAGCGTCAGTCAGGTTCCAGAAGCAAAGCCGCGAGCCGCTCGGCCTCGTGGACTGGCAGGCCGTGCAGTGCGGGTCGAAGGGCCCACCCAAGCCTGGAGCGGACGCCCGCCGTTAGTGACGACTGTCTGCATCTGTACCCCCTCAGGGCGCCGCACTTGCCAGACTTTGGGCACAAAGATTATTTTATCCTCATGCGGTCAGTTGGTGAGCTTCCGCCGCCACCTGCGAGACACGGAGCGGCCGAGGTCAGGTTCCCGAGACGCATGGGACTTGCCCGCAGACGCTCCTCGCCTCACTCACTCCATACGCCACCTCACTGCCTCTCCCCTGCTCCTCCCGCGGCGATGCGGGGGCCGCCGGGGGCCGCCTCTCCCCTTGGGGCGGCTGTTGTCGTCTGGACCTCCGTCCACCTTGTATTTTTAAATGCCAAGGACCCGCACACGCTATTTGACATTCTATTACACATGTAGCTAGGTCTCTGGTTGGACCCGTTTTGTACCTGAGGCTCTATCTCATTTATACCTGTGGCTGTGTCTGTGTCTTGGCCTCGAAGGCTTCTAGCTGCTTCTCTTAATCTGACCTGCCAACAGTGCCTCTGTGTTACTGGTCTTTTCAAAAGAACCAACTTGACCTCTTCTCGCATTTTTGCCTACAATTATTCATTCCAGCTTATATTAACATCCTCTCTTGTGTTTTTGTAATTTTCCTCGTTTCTTAAACTGAGTAAGTGACGTATTTATGTTTGAGTTTCCTCCCTCAATAGAGCATTCCGCGTTATCACAGTTTCCTTCCTTGTGGGCCCGTGTGCACCACGGGTTTCTGACGTGAGTTCTTTTTCTTTTTACCGCTTTTCTAAGAGTTTCAGTTTTTACTTCTCAAAAGAATGATGACACATCTGTCTCTCTTTTGGTTGCCGTGTCCGGTCGCACCGCTGAGGGGGTGAGGCTCAAGGGCCGTTAGGAGCTTTTGATTAGCTTCCGGACGGATCTGCGTTTATGGTCCTGCTTTATAGGTTGTCGGTTGTTTGCTCTCTTGGTTTGGTTTTGTCTGTTTGTTTATGGTATGTTTGGAGGGAAACTGGGCAACGTTTACAGGGAAGAATGAACGTTTGAGATTTTTAAAGGAAAACAATAGTTGAAAACCAACAGTGAAACTGACGATAAGGCTCGGCCGGTCAGAGCGGGAGAGCGGAGCGAGAGGCAGGCAGGCAGCGCGGAGTCCAGAGGTGTCTGCCATCGGGCCCTGGGCTCCTGTGCAGGCCGGGTCCCCTCCACGTCTGAGCGCTTCCCGGTGCCGGTGTTTTCCTGGGCCGGGCCCCGGGGGGATCTGGGCTCCGAGGCTCCCAGAGGGCAGGGCCGTGTGCCCAGCTTCCTGCGGCTACCTGGACCCTCCAACCGAACCTGGGTTTGCGAGGCTTGCTTGCCCAGCCCACATCTTGCCCAGCATCAGGACTCGGAACTAACAGGACACCAGAAACGACGATCACCGAGTGGTGCACCGGCTGACCTTCCTAAAAGGGGGCACCGTTCATTACGGTTCGTTTGAATTCCAGAAAAGTTGAGTCATTACAAGAGGAGCACAATCCTTCACAGACGTGGTTTGGACCTCTTTAAAATACCATGAAATATTTAAGCCATATTTGAAGGAAACCTCTGCTTTTCTGCTGGAAACGTGCACAAGCAGAAAACAGTAGGTTTCAAGTGTGCAGGGGAGGGTGAGTCACTGGCTTTAGGCACAGGCACGGTCCCCACTGTCCGTTTCTAAAGTACTCAGGCGTCAGACAAAAAGGAGGATGTCCAGGGTCAGCCCTGCAGCCCCTCCCCCAGGCAGGCACCCCCCTCCCGCCTCTGAATCAGCCTCCGACACAAGCAGGGCAAGTTCACGCCAGCATTTGCGACAACCGAGTGAGCGAGCGAACGGATGGGAAGGCCTTGCAGACACACACGCGGGACACGGCCGCGTGAGCGCTCCTGGCTGGCCCGGGACCCTGTGGCTGCAGGGCTGGCACCCGCGTGGCTCCTCAGGGGGTCCCTGCGCCTTCCCTCTCTGGCTCCGTGCCCGGTCTCCCTCTTCCTGAACGAGCACCCCACTCGCCTGTCTGCGGCCCTGTCTCCCCTCCCCCGGCCAGGCTGCTGGGAACAGCTGCCCCCCTCCACCCTCAGCCCCACGTCCCCCCACCTTCACACACGTGCAACGGTCACAAGCAACATTTGGTCCCATCCAAAGGGTCCCTTATGGATCTGCGTCTGCCTGACCTCTTGGGACATTCCACACGGGGGACCAACCTCTCCCTCCCTCTGGTCTCTGCCTCCTCCCCTCTGCTTTCACATCTCCTTGGCCCAGGACCTGTTCCCTTCCCCTCTCCCCTCTCCCCTCTCCCCAGGAGAGCCCTCCCCTCCCTGGGCCATCAGTGCCCTGGGCCTCCAGAGCCACCTGGTTCTGTGACACTGGCCCCACATCCAGTGACTCCTGGGAGGCTCCTCAAGACTGAACTCTGAACCTTCACCCCCAAAGGCGCCCCCTTCCCATCTTGGTAAGTGGGTCCTGGACCACCCGGCAGTGCAGGCCTGGGAGCCCTTGGGACACCAGAGGCTCTTCAGCCCCCACGTGACGCCCCCAGCCGTCTCTAGATTCCAAGCCATGTTCTTCAACTCCTTGCCCCCTTGAGTCCAAGTTACCACGGGCTCCCGCGTGGACAACTGTGGGACTCCCAGACTCCCCCAGCGCCACACCTCTGCCTTCCCGCTCAGCCCCCAAAGCACTACAGGAGTGACTCCTGATTGTCTGGGGTCTGAGGTACCAGAGGGCACAGGCCACCTCCCCCACGGAACTCTCAGGAAGATTCAAATGCAGGAGACTGGCCTGGCACGGCAGGCAGGACGGCGGCTTTGCCGGGCAGACTCGAGTAGGCTCGGGTGTGTTTGTTTGCTCATAAGAGCTATCCAGGCCCTCTGTGTGCCCGCCCTGGGGCCCAAGAGACACAACGGCGCCGTTCTGGGGACGGCTCCGGGCAGGGGGCGACAGGGACGATGGCTGACAGACGGCCAGGCGGTGCCGCAGGGAACCCAGTGCCGCGGGGCCAGGGGGCCGCGGGGCCAAGAGGACATCGAGCAGGGCTCAGGCAAGGGGCAGCAAGGGGCTCTCACTCGACAGCGAGCAGGGTGGGCGGGTTTGACGAGTGGCCATGTTCCCTCCTCAGCTTTCATCGTGAGGGCAGTGGGGAGCCACCACACGGCCCAACTCGATGTACGGACTGGGACGCGTGGTCGGCCACCCCGTGGAGCACACCTGGAGACGGCAAGGCGAAGGCGTCACGGGCGCCCAGGCAAACGATGACGGTCTGGGCAGGCTGAAGCCAGAGGGGCCAAGGACTGGGCAGGGTGGGTGAGTGGGTGTCGGGGGAGGGGAAAGGGCCACGTACCGGGGCTCAGTTTGAGCCCGATGTGTCCAGGGTGCCCGTGGGGCAGGGAGTAGTGTCCTAGGACAGATGCTTCTGTGCACACAGCAGGGTCAGAAGTGCTGACGGGGGCGTGGGGGGGGGGGGCGACGACACACGGGGGCAGATCTCAGAGGCAGAAGGGGGGCACACAGGCTGAGCCCACCAGGCTCGGTGAGCTGGGGAGGACTACCGTAGACCGTTACAAGGGCTGGAAGCCCTGGAGGGAGGCCACGCATCTTCTGAGGCCACCCCGGCCACAGCAGAGAGCCCGCCCACTGCAGCGGCGCCCTTCCCACCACGGCTCCAAGGGAACTCCAAGCGCACGGGTACTCGACCTGTTCTTGCCTTTTTACAACACAGAGACCCGCAGCACCGTCCAGGCAGATGCCCTGTGCTCCTGCCCCTGGAGCATACCCCAGGCCGTGTTTCCAGGAGACCTCACGATCCTTTCCGCAGGAGCAAGTGGACGCACTGCACGGGGCCCTGGATGAGAGCAGAAGGCACAGCCAGGGCCTGGCCCAGAGGGGGACGCGGCTGGAGGCGCAGGTCGCCTGCCTGGGGCGCAGATGCCAGGAGGCAGAGGGCACATTGGAGCCCGCGCAGGTGAGGGGCCCCAGAGGGCAGGGCCCCGCATTCCCTTTACAGAATCATCGTCCCCCCGGCAGGAAAGGAGATGCCGGACGGAGGCGAGCGTTCACACCTGGAGCCCCAGATGCCCAGACACCACAGCGGACAGACGGGGAAACTGAGGCGGGAGGGAGTCAGAGGCCCGAGGCCTCTCCCCGGGTTTCCGGCTCCACAGCACGCGCCCCTAGGACAGAGGGCCGGCTGTGGACGCGCAGCTCAGGGGAAGAGAGCGGGTGAGCCGTGGGCCAGGCGGGGCTCAGCGCTCAGCAGCAACAGCGCAGGGGAGGCGCTTCCCGCGGGAGGAGACGCCGCGCGCCGGCGGGACCGCCTGCAGGGGGAGCTCGCGGTGCTGCGCGCGCAGGGGTGGTGGGCGGGCCTTGGCCGCAGGGGCCGGCGGTGGGGGCGGGGGGTCAGTGGAGGGGCGGGTGGAGGCGGGGAAAAGGGAGCATCCCGTGGGGGTCCAAGCTGGGCCAGGCTGCCGGAGGCGCCTCTCCGGATGGGCACCTGTTCTGCACCTGCCCACCCCTCTCCAAGCTCAGGGCCGCCCTGTAGACCTCCGTAACCCCATGCCTGGTGGTGACGCCCCCACTACTTTTCCTCTCCTCTCGTATGGCACCCCGGGGTGCCATAGCAAATCGCCCGGCTTTGTCCCCAGTGTCTGGGCCACAGCCCTGCATGGAGCTGTGTGGCCTGGCACACGGCCTACCCCGGGAGCCCCAGATTCTGCCGTCCACGTTGGAAATGACCCCGGGCCCGGGGAGTGCCCTACAGACAGGACCAGGGCAACAGCTGGGGAATGCACAGGCCTACACAGTGGGAGACCAGGAAGGCTCAAGGGGAGAAGCCGATCTAGTCACCCCAGCAGTCTCCACACAGGGCAGGGTGCGCGACAGGGCCCCAACTAAAGCCCTCGAACAAAGGCAGACGGCGACGTCCGGGGCAAGGCAGGGCAGCGAGCCGGCCCCCAGTGTGCAGACGGAACGGGGAGGCAGTGAGGCCGAGGGGCCCACCGGCCAGTAATTCTGTGAGTGGATCCAGTCTCCATGTAAGAAACAGGTCGAAGTGGAGCTATTCGGGTTGAAATTAGGGGTGGGGGTCACCAGAGCATCTTCCTGGGGCCCAGGTTGACTGAGGGGGAGGAAACTGGGGCCCGGAGAAAGGGAACCAGGCGGAACATCACCCAGGCCCCACGCCCACTCGTGGCTCTGTGGGTCCACCCGGCGGGTGCCTGCTGCGGGGGGGCCCTTCCCCCTCACATCACCTGAGACGGACGGGGCTGTGTGGCAGACCCACCCGGCTGCCTGTGACGGAGTTACACCCTCACAGCCCCCTCTGGGGGCAGACAGGATGGGGACTCAGCAGGGAATACGGAGGAATCAGGCCATAGGGGAGGGTGGGGACAGCCTTTGCCGGGCTGATGACCTGGCGTCTGAGGCACCTGACCCTTCGCGTTCCATGACCCCATCTACAAAGTGAGGAAAGCAAGAGTCCTGGCGTTGACAGGGGTGCCAAGGGCCTCGGCCACAGTCCCCAGGGTAGGGTGGGCTTCCTAAGGCTTCACGGGGATGAGGATACAGAGGTGTCCTGCTGGCCTAATGGCCTGGTTCTCGTGACCGAGAACCTCCATGAGCATGCCTGGGCCCCATCTGGGCAGAAACCCTCGTGGCCTGTCCCCTAGAACAGTGGCCTGAAGTACTCAGTGGGCACAGAGGAGGAGCACGGGGACACGGCCCTGCCGGCTCAAGCCCTTCCCGCTGCAGCGCTGGCCTGGGCAGAGGTGTGGGAGGCATGTGCCAACGGGGGCTCATCTGCACACGCGGAACAGGGGACCGGGCCCCGAGGGGGGGGGGGGCATTTGTTACGGCTGCTCGAGGCAGCAGCACCCAGCCAGGGTCTCCCAGGGGACGGTGGGGAGGGTCCATGTTAAACGACACGGCCTCACAGATCTGTAGGGACCGCCTCAGGTCCAGGAGACCCCTGAGCCGGCCACTGCACACCCCTGCTCACCCAGACCTGCGGACCAGCTTTACGCGGGGCAGCCTGGGCTGGGCGGTGCGGCCCGAGGGCAGAAGGGCCAGGGGACCGTACAGGCCGGGCTTGGCCTCACCGGAACCGAGTCGTTGCCCGTGGAACGGATGACAAGACGGCGGGCGTCCAGAACTCGCAAACTTTGGAGGACAGAGGGGCTGGCGCAGCACATGGGCACCAGCAAGGAGTGGAAGACAGAGGCCGCCAGCCACCGCAGGAGCGGGACAGAGGGTGCGGAGTTGTGCCACAAACCAGGAGCAGCGGGGTCCCTCTGGGAGCGACGTCTGCCTTCGAAGGCCTCCCCGCGCCCAGCTGGCCCCCAGCCTCTCTGACAAGGAGGGCCCGCTGCAGTGCCCGCGGACCAGCAGGCCCGAAGAAGAGCAGTGAGGCCTCACCAGGCGAGGGCGCTGCTGGGCCTGGACCCTCCAGCACAGAGTCTGCCCAAGCACGTGGGAACAGCTGTCCCAGGGCAGGCCCTGGCCACCAGACCACACTGCCCAGCTGACGTGGACTCGGGGACAAGTGGGTTTTCCAGAGGCGAGTGGCCAGGTCAGCGGGGTGGCAGTCAGGGGCAGGGACCCTGGGAACGGGATGCAGGCACAGGGGCCAGCAGGTCAGGACAGTCTCTGAAAGCCACTGGCCAGCTTGTCCATGCAGGGCCACCTGCCCTCCCAGGAAGGTGGGTCGGCCCACCCTTACGGTCACGGTCACGGGAGTCCTGCCTCTCCTGAGAGGCGGGCACGACACTGAGCTGCTGAGCGGGGGGAGCCGAGCCTCCTCCTGGCAGCACGGGCCCGGCCGCGGTGGCATTGCCCAGGGCCGCGGAGCCAGTTGTGGGCCCCTGCAGCCCAGGTCGGGGAGGGGAGGAACAGCTAATGAGTTCCAGGAGGTCAGCTGTGAGGGGCCCCCAAAGCCATAAACCCTTGATTGGTGTCTCAGGAGGGGAAACCCGGATGTGGCCGTTTGTTTATTTTGGATTTCACTTTTCTCTTCCCTTTTTAACATGCACTTCCAGGAGTGTGACTGGATTTTTAGACAAACAGGACCTTCCTTCTTCAGTGGAAGCGGATCCGTTGTCTTCCGCACCCCTGAAGAAGAAAGAAGTCCTTATTTTTGTAAGCCGTTCTCCTATCACTGACCGAATAACTTTACCAGCAAGACAGAGCCGCCACGTCTCCGGGCCTCTGTGACACCAGCCCCAAGGCCTTGGGCACAGGGCAAGAAGACACCGAACGGAGGCGTGGCCAGGGGCCCCATCCGCCCCCCCCCCCCCCGCCGGGCACAGGGACTGGCCCGGAGCCAGCAGGACCCACCAGGCAGGCGGGCAGAGCAGGGTAGTGGAGGGGGCCCCGTTTGGAGAGCCCCGACTGCTGACAGGCCCAGCGCCCACCCATGGGCTTCCAGAAGGAGACTGTCCACATCCAGCACCCACGAGGCATGACCTGGGGTGTCCGTGCCTTCCTCCAAAAGGATCACCCACAAGGGACAAAAGGAGGCCCGCCAAACTTTCCGTTGAAAATGTTTGCTCTCTCAGTCCCCTGCCGTTAGCCCCCTGCTCTGTGACCAGCATGCCGGAGAAGGCCACCAAGAAGGGGGCACGGTTGGGGGCAGCTTGCAGCCCCCTAAAGACAGATGGTGGAGACAGAGGCTTGTTGGGCCTGGGTCAGAGTGGGCAGGGCCCTGAGTGCAGCGGGTCGGGGCTCCATGAGGCCAGGGCCATGCTGGGAGGGCCCCTGGGCGGCAGGCCCCGGAGGCCACCCCAAAAGATGGAGCCATTCCCCTCCCCCACCGGCCTGAAGCAGGCTGGCACCGGGAGCCCGTGCTCCTCCTTCAGCCCACGCTCCCTGGCTGCAGGGCCCTCCCTCTACCCAGCCTGCTCTCAGGGGACCCAGAGCCCTTTCCAGAACCTCCTTTCCAGAGGGGAAGGCTGGCCTGACCCCACCTCCCCCCCCACCCCCACCGCCAGAGGGCCTCTACAGACTCCGACCCCTGGGCTCTTACAGACGGAGCAGGAGACGCTGAGGAAAGAAGGGGACACGGCAAGGCGGGGGGCCTGGAAGGAGCAAGTGCCCCAGCCCGTGGGCAGCCTGCACCAGGAAGGGGACAGGGCGCCGAGGCACCACCAGCGGCGGCAGGTCAGCTGGGCCAGCCTCGGGGGTGCACCCAGGGGCGGGCAGTGTCCGGTGGGTCTCACGCCGCACAGCCCACGCGGAGGCGCCCACACAGCCGGGAAGGGTGCGGTGGACCGCTCCCACACCGACCGATGCGGAGACCCAGCCCCAGACGACAGTGGGGTCTACCAGGCTCACACCGCAAGGGGCAGGCAGAGGTGGAACCAGGGCCCAGGGCTCTGCGGGCCCCTCCTGGTCCCCTCCCCAGGCCCCGCGGGAGTGGCCACACGGCCGAGGGGGCTTGTGCAGAACAGAGCAGGACGGGGAGGAGTGTGGGAAGCGCGGGGTCAGGCAGGCCTGTGGGCAAGTCCAGGGGCTGCTCCTGTGTGTTTGGGGGGCATCTCCCCTCCCACCGCTGGCCAGACCCCTACCTCCACACAAGGACTTGGCAAGAGGGGCAGGGGCGAGCGTCAGTCTGTGACGCCCACGCGAACCCCCCCCACCCCCACCCGACGCCTCCCCCAGTCCAGCCAAGCAGAAACTGGGATCCCAGCAAAACAGCTGTGAGGCCTAGCCTGGAGGCCCGTGGGTGGGGCTCTGGGCCAGACAAGGCCCAGGGGCTGAATGTGCTCGAACCCCTGGGTCGCCCTGCCAGTCCTGGGCCGGGGGCCCGTGCCCAGCAGAGGGCAGCGGAGCCAGCTGGGGGCTGGAGGAAGGAATAGTAGCCCTAGGGGGAGGGCTGGACGCCCTACCCTGGACTCTGTGCAGCTCTCAGGTCGGTGGGCAGCAGGGAGGAGCCCAGGTTCTCACCTCGGGCCCGGAGAGCGGAGCAGGCCCAGGCACAGGCCCAGGGGTCGGGAGCTGGCCACAGGGCCCGGCTGCAGGCTGTGCAGGCCCTGGAGAGCCGGGAGCAGACCCCCCCGGTAGCGGCGGCGGCCGAAGTTCCAGGAGGAGGAAGTGGGGCCTGGACCTCAGTGCCCCAGGCAGAGGGAGGGGTGGGGAGGGACGGGCACCCTGTAGCAGCACAGCGCAGGGGTGCCTGCCTGGCCTCGCCCTGAAATCCTGCGGCAGGGGGGTCCCAGCCACCCCCAGGGGCTCTCACACTCCATCCAACCACCCCCACCACTCACCGAGGGGCGGAGCGAGTGTTCTGAGACAGGCCACCAGCCTCTCTGTGCCTCCATCGCTGGGCCCCTAGGAGGAAGGTGAGGACAGTTCTTGGGCCGTAGGGCACCGCGGGTAAAGTGTCCAACTGCACCTAGCACATGGCAGTCGGAGCACAGGTGACCCCCGCACCTGTCTGTCAGAGTCAGGAAGGGAGAACAGTGGTGTACGTGGGGACAAGGCAGTGACGAAACATGGCAGTGCCCCTCCCCCCCGGCACCCCGCCCCTCCCCCCCACACGAACGCACACCTGCTGGGGCTCACCCTTGGGCTCCTGGGGGCCATCTGGTCCAAACTCTCATTTTATAGCTGAAACCCAGAAGGGTAAAGTGACCACCCGGTGTCACCCCCAAGTTAGTGTCCCTAACCCACCAAGCCACATTTGCCAAATTTATAAGCCGAGCAGCATGAATTTCCTTATCACTCCGAGTGTGTTCACGGCCTGAATGGAAGGGGGTCCATCCACTGCGGGTGTGCAGTGTCCTCAGTCCATAGGACCCCTGGGATGGGTGTCCCTGAAGAGCATGGCTCCACATACCCCCCATGGGACAGCCAGCAAGTCCCCTGCCTGCCTGATGTCTCTCTCCCAGGCACCTGCCTCTCCTCAGGACCCCCAGAGCTCTCCACAACCACGGCCTGGGAGCCCTGGCTACAGGCCCTGCCCGCCCCCCGCCACCGCCCACCCACCTGAGCTCCTGCCCTGTCCCCAGGTGGCCAGTCTGAAGAAGCAGCCGGACCAGGAAGCACCTCGGCATCAACAGGCCCGCCTCGGCCAGGCCTTGCAGGCCAAGAAGTGAGCCCCGCTTGCCCAAGCCCCCAGGGTGGCCCGGCGGCCCCAGCGCCGACCCGACAGCGCATCAGAGCCGCCACGGAGAAAACGGACGTCTCACGCTGCTCAGAGGACTGTGGTGCCACGGCCCACAGCCCACCACGCCTCCCCCGGGGTCCTATACCAGCAGGCGCCCCGCGATTCCACAGAGCACCGAGCTCCCCCCGGCCCTTGGGACCTCCACCTCTGCGCACCCTGGACCGGCCTCCAGGACACTCCTCGCAGGCACCGCCCTGCCCCTGGCCCGCACCCGGCCTGGCACTCTGTCTCCACTTGGGACGCACTGATCTGGCCAGACCCTGGTCACCAGGCCCCATCAGGCCGGCTCCCACGGCCACAGGCTGCGTTCCATGCCTTCAGCTCTATAAACATGGGGAAACACGTGGAAAATATTTCCACCAACTAGAGCCAAAAACATAATGTCCTGCGAGGCCCAGCCACCACTTCCCTACGTCCAGAGGCCGCGGAACCTTCTGTATCCAGGAAGTGCAGGTCCGTCACAGTGGCAGGTGGCTGGAAATGACTCAGAATCAAGTCCCTGCGACTCGCCGGCCACGGGAAGCACTGGCCGTGAGGGCTGAAGCTGTTGCAGAATCCCCCCCTTTTCCAGCCTATAAACTCTGGGAAAATTCCTGGGGGAACCGGCCCCAGTTGCCAGGGAGACCGAGGTGGCCATCTCGGGCCTCTGTGGGGTTCACCTGTCAGCATTTTTACTCATTTCCCCCATGAACGTCGGCCAGAGTGGTTTGTCTTCCTCCCCAAATGGCCTCCCCTGTTTTGCAAGCGGCACGTTTACGATACGCAGGGCACCGGCCAGCCCGGTAAATTCCTGCGTGCACAGGTGCTGGCTGCCCTCCAGGACTCCTGGGGGCGGGCGGGGCCGAGAGCGCACAGCCCACCTCACTGCTGTCCGTGCACCTTGCTGCCCGAATGTGCGATCGCCGTATGTCTGTCTCAAGATCGATCCAGGGCTTAAAGTAGGCCATCCTGTCAAGACCTTGCTTTCCGCTTGAATTTAGCAACGTGTTCCCACAGCCGGTCATGTGTACGGAAGCAGCGGCTAGAAGGATGGAGGCAGACGGGTTCCATTCCGCCCTCAACTCAGCCTGCTCACCGGTGGCTGCGTGGCTCTGAAGCCCAGCCCAGGCTCGGAGGGAAGCGCCGGGTGACCCCCTGGCAGTGGCTGCCTTGGGCCCGGGAGGCCGTCCTGGTGCTATCTGCGGCCCGATCCGTGCCACCGGTGGAGGCTAGCGGGCAGGTGCACCCCTACTTCAGAAGCGTGCTCTGCCAAATGGGAGAGGCTGGGGCCCTGACAGGGGACGCGTGGCCCTCGGGGCCTGGCTTTTGGTAGACAGACCCCCCCCCCCAGCAGAAGGACCCCAGGGCCGGGCCAGGCGGGGGCGCGAGGAGGGAGGAACAAGCAGCCGGAGACCCGAGTCTGTGCGTGTCTGCGGCACCCGCTGGCGTCGTAGGTGCTCCCAGCACAGAAGAAGCAAGTGCACGCTCACGGGTGAAAGAGGAGAATGTATCTCAGATGCGGGAGGGGTCGGGTGACTTCTCGTTACTAAAATGAAAGCCCCCGTGTTTTGACCGACATCCTGGTGATTTGGTGATTTCCTTGCCCCCGGTTGCACATGCGGGACTTTCACAGCACCTGTGAGACCTCTCGATTTTTGTATGTTAATAGTTCAACCCATGTAGGAGATGCTAGTTTTTACTTACTCAACATAAAGTCATACGCTTAGGAAAAAGAGGATTTTTCTAGTGGAAATAAATTGGTGTTTCCTTGAGCATCTCCAGCACAAGGGCCGGTGCATCTGACAGCTACCCTGGAACCTGGAAGAGCCTGGCTCTGTCCTCCCAACAGCACCCTGGGACACCTGTTGACGGGGGACTTCACGGGGGCTTCCCTGACCAGGCTTCCACGAGGTCTTGCTTCTGGACCAAGGCCACGAGGCAGTCCGCAAGAGGTCAGAGTCAAACCCAGAGGCCAGCGAGGCTGCAGGCACAGCGTCCTACCGACTGGAGGACAGAGACGGACTGGGGGTGCTGAGCAGGGTGGGTCCCAGTGCCCGGGGTGCTGGAACCCTGCCGGGCATCCACCTGTCCTCACACGCACCACCCGCCCCACGCTTCCGGAGGTGAGGTCAAGGCAGGAGGGCCTGGGGTGGGGCCAGGCCCGAGACGACAGGCTGTACTGCTGCCCATGCCCTCCCTGTGGCCCGAGGGGAAAGGCTCACGGCTTCTTCCTTGACCACCCCGCACGGAGGCCTCCAGCCTGTAAGAGGCCCAGCAGCCCCCGCATCAGTTTGGGACTCATCAGCCTTGGAGGAATCCTAGCTCCGCCCCTTCCAGCTGTGTGGTTCTGGACAGGCTCTCTAGCCTCAGTTTCCTCACCTGTGAAATGGGCGAGCCCACCCCCGAGGGGCACGGTGAGCCCTCTATGAGGTATCGCCCACACTGACACCGGGCCCGTCGTGAACCCTCAGCGACAGGGGTGGGGGCACCATCACCACCCTGTAGCCACTGCAGGTGGGGTGTACGAAGGAGGAGAGCAGGGATGCCACAGAGAAAGGGCCCCCCGGGAGCCCAGGGAAGGCCGTGATTCCCACCAGACAGACGAGGCGGCGGAGGGAGAACGAACACCCTGAGGGCACGGGCCCCAGCCCCCCCGCAGCACCCCAGCTCTCGAGGGAGGCAGGGGCTTCACCTGGGCCACAGCTGGAGCAGGAAATGGGCCAGCTGGAACCAGGGTCACTGATATTCCGGCTTCTAAAACATTAATTTGTTCAAATAACTGCAAATAAAAACTGTGACGACGAAACCTATGAAAAAGAAGCCCGCCACCGCCCGTACTCCGTGACAGCAGATCCTCGGGTAAAATTGGAACATTCCCGATGGTTGGGGGCTGCTGCACGTGCCACGCTGAATACTCTTCTGAAAAACTTTTACTTGACGTTTTATCATGAGGCTTTTCCCCACGTCATGAAAAATGCCACAGAAGCTTGATTTTATCAGCTGCCAAACCTCTCAGCAAAGGGTCATGCGGGGGCCACCTGAGAGCCCTTCTGTCGCACCTGTCCCTGGCGCTTGTGGAACACTCAGGAAGCCAAGCCGAGTCTCTGCCCTGTGCCCTGGGGGACAGCGGCAGGGCGGGGGCAGGGCGGGGGGCGGCGGGGCGGGGGCAGGGCGGGGGCGGGGAGGGGCGGGGGGGG